CAAAATAAATGAACACAAAATCTAATGAACAAAATAAACTGGTGTATAAAATAGAATCAGAGGCATGAAAGCATGGGACAGACTGATGAATCTCAGAGGGAATGGTGGTGGGTGGGAAGAGATTAACCAAAGATTTTACCTATGGACACAGACAGTAGGACGGTAAAGGCCTGGGGCAGGATGGGTACCAGTGGAGAAGGAGAAATGGGGGGGAAAGGGGGACATCTGTAATACAATCAACAATAAAGATTTTAAAAAATAAAAATTGAAATGTCATATGCATGTAATTATACAGTATGTAACCTTTTGAGACTGACTTCTGTCACTCAGCTTAATGCCTTTGAGATTCATCCATGTTTGTTGCTTTTTTTATTGCTGCATAGTATTCCATTGCATGAATGCCCTATATTTTAATTTTCCTTTCACCTGTTGAAGGACAATGGGTTGTTTCCAGTTTTGGGCAACTATGAATAGATCTTCTTCAAACATCAATGCACATTTTGTGTGAACCTTTTTAAATTTATTGATTGATGAGAGAGAGAGAGAGATTTGCTGTTTCACTTATGCATTCACTGGTTAAATGTTGTATGTGCCCTGACTGGCGATTGAACCTGCAACCTTGGCCTGTCAAGATGATGCTCTAACCAACTGGGCTACGTGGCCAGGGTTGTTCTTGTTAAACTTTTAAAGAATAAAGTTTTGCCTATTTTGATATTTTATATTGAAGATCTATTTTCAATTTTATATTACTTACTTTTTTAAATTTTCAAACAGCTCAGTTTTCTAAATTCTTGAGATACTTAGCTCATTAACTTTTAGCCAGAATCCTTCCTAAAATGTGTACTTAAATTTCCTCTAAAAAACTGTTTTTTTTTTTGCAGATATATGCACCTCTATGTTCACTGCAGCATTACTCATGGTAGCAAAGACATGGAAATAACTCGTGTCCTTTCAAAGAGAATTAGATAAAGAAGATGTGGTACATCTATACAATCGAATACTACTCAGTCATAAGAAAATATGAAATACTTCCATTTGCAATACTATGGATGGACCATGAGAAAATTATGCTAAGTGAAATAAGTCAGTAAGAAAATCTGCAAGCCATATGATTTCAATAATATGTGCGATATAAGACTGAAAAATCATACACAAAGACAACAGTATAGTGGTTATGAGGGAGGAGGGGTGAGGGGAAGGAAAGGGTAAAGGAGGTTGAGTATATAGTGATGGAAAATGATTTGACTTTGGGTGGTGGGTGCACAATGCAAGACACAGGTTATGTATCATAAATGTATGCTTGAAACCTATATAATCATATTAACCAGTGCCACCCCAATAAATTTAATTTAAAAAGCACCATATAATCTGTTTTTACCATATTCTACAAATGCAATATATCATTAATTATAAAATTTCTTCATTTTCATTATGATTTCTGCATTGACCCATGAACATGCATTCAAAATGTGTTTCTTAAAATTTCCAAACTTAATTTTTATTTTATTATTTTCTAGCTTAATTGTATTATGTTCAAGGAACATGTTCTGTATAATTTTATCCTTTACAATTTGTTGAGATTTGCTTTATTACCCTGCCTATGCTCAAGTTTTATAAATGCTCCACAGTTGAAAAAAACATTTACATTGCAATTACTATACATTTTACTCATATTTTCAAATCTTCTATATCCTCATTGATTTTGTGTGATTATTCTATCAATGTCTAATCATGGTGTGTTAATTCTTCCACTGATTTGTCTTTTTCTCTTCGTATATTGCCTATTTTTCCTTAATATATTTTAGGCCGTATTATTAAGTACAAATACATTTAAAATAATATCTTATTAGTAATTTTAATCTTTCATCATTATAATGCTTTTGTCCTTAAAGTTGACATCATCTGAAATTAATTTTAGCTATATATATTTTTTGTGTAGCATTTTCATGAGAAATACTATGTGATCTTTTCTCTTTACTATATATATTGGACATTTTCTCTGCTCTTCCATCTCAGATCTCCTATCAAAGATTTCTTTCATCATGCTTAAAATATATCCTTTAGAATTTGCTTTTAGTAAGGGTCTACTATTAACAAATTTTCTGTTTTCATTGCCTGAAACTTGTCTGAAATAATTACCTTATTTCATCTTTTTTCTTTGAAAATATTTTTGCTAAGTATAGAATTCTGTATTGAGAGACATCATTTTATTATGTCTGGTCTCCATTGTTATTGAGAATTTTGCTGTCAGTCTAATTGCCACTCTCTCAATCACAATCTGACTTTTTGAATTTGCTTTTAAGTTTTTCTTTTTGTCTTGAATGTTCTATTTTACCACAATGTGACTGAGGGTGGATTTATTTATCCATCTTGAGATTTGCTGGGCTTCTCAATTTGTGGTCTGATGTCCTTCACTGGTTCTGAAAAAATCTCAGCCATTATCTCTTCAAATATTGCTGTTTCCCTCTGCTCTCTTTTCCTAGAATTAAGACAAATGTTGGAGGAGAAGCCAAGATGGCGGCATAGGTAAACACCGGAAATTGCTGCCTCGCACAACCACTTCAAAAATACAACTAAAAAACAAAATGGACATCATCCAGATCCATAGGAAGGCTGGCTGAGTGGAAATTCTACAACTAGAAGGAAAGAGAAAAGCACACTGAGACGCAGAGGAAGTGTGGAAATAAAGTGCAGAGGTACGGAGGCCCACGTGGAAAGGGCTGGCAACTGAGGACGTGGTTGTCTTTTTCAATTGGGAGGGAGTGTCAAGCTCCCAACTGCTCTGAACTCCAGTTCCGGGTGAGTCTCTGGGGACCCAGACTCATATGGGGAGAAACTGGACTGTCTGGCAGCAGGCAGAACTCGAGGGCGGCTTTCTCTCAGAGGTGCTTCAGTGATTACGGGACACTGAGATGCAGGGCCTCTTAAGGTAGGACTGAGGAGTAGTCATAGCTACTTGCTCCACCCTGTTGATTCCCTGAGACCCTGCCCCACCCAAGTGGAAGGCAGAGGCTTTTGCACATGAAGGCCTGGCCCTTTGCAATCTTAAAATTATCTAACAAACTGCAGCTAGGTCAGAGAGACCCAGAACTTCCAAAAGAAAACCCAAGGCCCCACAGCAGCTTGCATTGCTTCACAGCTGGGCCTCATCTGGGCACCTCCAAACCCCAAACAAAGAAGAGGAATCTGCAGATATCTCCATAGCTCCTGCAGGGGTAGCCTCAGGAAGAGGCTAAATTAGCCCCTCCTTAGAGATCCAAGAGCCAGTGTACCCAGTGGTCCGAATGGGACCATCCAGATTACAACGCCTCAGATCCATAAGGGACACACTCAGGGGGCAGACTCAGTGAGCACCAAAGCCCCACTGAAGCAAGTCTTGCCACAGAAGGGTGTCCTCAGCAT